TTAGTGAATATTTCGATAAAATATTAAGGATTGGCATATGTAGATATTGTGGAACTTTAACAATTTTAATCACGAGCTGATCCTAGCCAAACCATTATTCAGGATCTGGAAGTGCTGGTCTTCCTTTCGTCCTAGTATGAGGCTCCTCAGTATTACGCATGCGCGAACGCATATTCGTGATTTCGACTGTAAATGTATTCATTGACATTAGTAATTAACACAAACTGACATTTGTCTAAAAATAATCAAAAAACAAGAATCATCGTAGCCCTGTTACATCAAGGCTCATCAACAAGTGGCTCCATAAACCTTTGTTATTTAACACATAATTTGTAATACTAAGTTCTAACTGTCTTCTGCACAATTAATAAAACAACATCATATTGTAAAAGATTCTGTACAGTCGCATCTTCAGTTTAGGATCTAATTTCAATTATCTTAGGCATACAAAAATACATCATACAGACTAGTTAATATTTGATATCTCCTCTATTGGCGTAATTTTGATGATGAGCTTAAACTGATTCAATTACAACCTTCGTCACTTTAAAATATAAATTTTGTTTGTCGAATTAAATATTCTTAAAATCGTCTATAATGGCGGCAAAATGATTTTTTTTTTTTTGTTGTTGTCAAATTAAATTTAAACCACTTAGTTGCATTATAATTTAATTTTGATCAAAGTTATACCTCTAAATGAACATGTGATAAATCATATGAAAATAATATTTAAGTTAGATTGAAGTAGAACTATTCTAAAGTAAATTAAAATGTGTAACTTATCATCTATTCAATATCATGAAACTTGTATGAAATGCAAAAGTTAAACAATAAACATATAAAATAGTTGCTATGGAAACAATACGAGTCCATATCAAATTATATATAATAGTAAAATTATACAAACCATAATAATACTACTTTGATATTTGTTCAGTTATTTGATTAAATGATTGTTGTTTGTTTTCTGAAAAAATTTCTGACTGCAAAATTTAAATGACGACAGTGTTTTGGAAACTATATATATATATATATTATATATATATATATATGTCATCCATGTTATTTTTGTCTTAGAATGACTTACTTTATGTGCAAAAATCTTAGTTTGTCTAATCATCTTCACTATACCAACAGCTTATTTGAAAGTTGATTGTCATAATAATATACAAATCTATACACTGTTCTTTTTAGAACCATACTGTTGATGATACTTTAAGATTGTTATTATATAATACAAATGGGTGAACATAAACATGGAATGGGATTATATCACCTGTGTACAGCTGTATAGTTTAACAAGATACTGTTTATTTTGATCAATAAAGAAAATGTTTGGAATCAAGGGAAATTTTCTGTGTTATTGTTTTTAAAATAATAAAATGAATCTTTTTGTTGTTGTTATTTTTATGGGTAGTTGATATAACTAAATAACTTTCTAATATCTGGTTATTGTTGATAGTTTCTTAATATCTGATAACTCTGATGATCATCAATTTATTATTGAACTTTAAGAAAGATTGACAGACGAAACATTATAGTTATTGAACTTCAATCCCTGAGAATCTTACATATGGGATTTCATTTAGAACATCTTCTTTGAAGTCAATAGTAATGTATTTTAGAAATGTTTGTTCAAATCTTAGTAAACATTCATATAAAAACTCTAGTAGATAACGACTTCAATAAACATTTATAACTTTAAATTGATTTTTATGGTAACTCTTTATACATTACCAGGTATGACTTCAGATTAGAAAGAAAATTCATTGCAGTATTATTATTTTTTCTGTTTGGTTAGAATGTGTGATTATCAATAAAAGCAAATGATTTACGTTTAATTATATAAACGTTTTATTTAGTCTATTCTTGAGTAAATTAGCTTTGCAGAAACAATTGTTAACCTCTGTTTGTTTGTTGCTATCAATTTGACGATTTGCTTATACATCAACACTGAATGGAAAGCATTTTGTGATAGTTTGGAAAGTGAACTAATTCATGCTTTAACATAAATTACAAATACATTGATTTTTACGGGTACCTGTCGGATGTTTCTTTATTAGAAAGCTATGTGGTCTCAGATATTTTAATGTTTCTGGATTTATAAATGGTAATTAATAGCTTCTGTTGAACACTTTGAAGTGACCATTATATTTAGGAAAAAAACTTGATCAGAAAATCAAGATCGCATTGTTGAAGTAAAATTGTCAATTCCACTAATCCGGAGATAATTTGTTTATTTATGGTAATCTGTAAAGATTCCAATTACAGATTTCAATCATTGTATCCTAATTTAGTACCTAATTGGAACTGTATATGCAGCACAAGCTGTAGGTTCATCATTTGATACAATCCATTGTCAGCTAGAGAAAAAATTATCTCTGACTTATATGGAATTTCGGTAAAATACAATTTCTGTAAAATGCAATAAATTCAAGTTTTCACCTGCACATTCACTTATCACATATTTCTGGTGATCCATTTTATTTTTGAAACATACCGGTAAATCCTACATTGATTCATAAACATTACACAAAGGACTTTTTCTTCCAATTGTCTAAACTAATATTTAACAGCAATCAATCGAGATTGTATATCACATAGGATCGAAAACAAGACTATTTTGGATCAGCCTACCCAAATTACGAATGTCTGTTGTTGGGTAATAATTATACTGTTAAAATTAATGATTACTTTGAATAAAAAACGATGACTAAACAGTAGTTCATGTTCCTTGTTTTTGAGTATTTTGCCAAATGATGTTCATTTGAGACAAAAACGTTTTTTTATACAAACCACCCAGGTAAGTTACAATTATCCATTAATTGCAAACTGTATATATATAACGGATGTAAAATTAATTAAAACTATTCAGTCATTTTCTTACTACTTTACATTTAATAGTAATGTTTTGAAAGCTACATAATTATCCGAACTTCTGATGGATCCAATATCATGTATCACTGCATACATTTTAAAATATATTTTACAAGTAGGAACTATAAAGAGAAGCTGGAGGATGGATTTTCCAATTCGAGACAAAAAGGTTTCACCACAGTATCATATTGTATGTAATTTACTTAGAAGTTTTCTTTTCAGGTATCTTTGTTAAATTATTTGGTAACACACCAGTACTATTTATGTATGTTATCTAAATGTGAAAATTATTCACTGTGAATCCATACAGATAGCTTTGGTATAAAAACATATAACTAATGAATAATTAATTCTAAGATCTTTTTCCAAACATTGGTACATGAATTCACTTGGTATTGCTTTACTTATATCTTTCCATTGTTATTTAGGATTGTAATTGATCAGTTTACTGTTGGTATATGTGCATCCTGTAAGGATCGCCTCCATATAGCATTAAGTCACAAGCATTCTAAACAAAGATGGAGAGTGGGTAGCAGTGAAATTCAGGACGCGCGTTTTGCCTTATTTGTGACTCGTCAGCTGAACTTCGTGATTTTTACATTCATTTATATGATTAAATAAACAGAATGAATTCAAACATTAAACGTTGAATATTTTAAAAACAAGACTGTGAGGGTATTTTTTTCAGCAACACAATCATTTAGTAGATACTTTGGAAATTTAACCTTTTCTACATAAAGATCACCTAGCATTTAGACTAATTTCCATTTTTACTTTTCACGCTAATTTGAGGAATATTTAGTAAGATTTATTCAAAATACAAAGAAATAGTTTGTGGAAAATTATAAAAGTACACTGAATAAGAAGTTGAAATGTTAAAGATAATTTGTAGTGAATAAGTTTTGAAGCTATAAGATTACATAACATCAGATTTCATAGTTTAAATGAATCGTTTATTAATAGATTTGTTATTAACGTATTCACTTTTAATAGGAAGAAGACGAAACTAACGGTAGCCTTCATGGGTACAGTATTTAATTTATTGATAAATAGCTTACCAATTAAAACAATCTAGCTCAATGAATATAGAATAACAAACCTATTAAACTAAACCATAAATCTTTATGATTTTTTGAAAAAAATAACTGTACAGATTGGACGCATCAAGTTGTGTAAGAAACCCACATATCGATGTAATGAAATTTAATCGATAGAACAAAATCATCTAGAAACGATATGACTATTATGATACTGTCAATAATGAAACCATATAAATCAAGAAATTTGAATGCGTAACAAAAAAATATGACATCATAAGAAACAGAGTAAAGATATATACAAAAATAACTTTATTTCAATAGTTAAGATCATGGGTCAATTGAAGCTAGATCACCATGGAAAACCTGGAAGCACTGGACGGCCGTTTCGTCCTATTGCTGGACTCCACAGCAGTACACATCCACGACTCCGCCTCGCGGGATCCGAACCCAGGACCTATCAATCTTGGTCTAGCTTTAACTGACGCATGATCTCAACTATTGAAATGACTACAATCTCCATAAAACCCCTTCTGGTACTAATAACTTTATTCTTTAAAGATTTCACCATGTAGCCAGTAATACTTATTGTATTTGACAAGAAATTACCTTTTTCTGAACTTTAGAAAGCTAAATGTCTAAATACTTACATTACAAACTAATTATAATTTGGTTTGTTTGAGTTCATACTGATGATTTATTTATACTGATCAGGCAAAAATTATACATTCTCTCACTTCTTACATACTTTTCATAGTTTTCTTCTATTGATGAGAACTCATAACCTTAAAGTATATTTGATTTTAAGTGTTTCCTAAGTAGCTAGTTAAAGAGTAAAATCCTTGTCAGATACTTTATCGAGAAATTCGAAACAGATAAATACGGCTCGTCTTATATAATTCATATTTTGTTTACGTAGTTTATTAATAGTGCCAAAAACTTTTTAACGTATTCCCATTAAACCAGTTTTCAAAGAACATTAAACCTACTAACATTCATAATTTCATTTGATGTACATTATAAAATTGAATTCAAAGAAAGCAGAGCCCATTACAAATATACAATAAATAAAAAAAATTCACCTACCAATTGTTGTAATTACAGTTATGGCATAAAGGACAGAACCAGCAAAGGACCATTTTAAATCTTCCATTGAATCATTACCATTCCAACCATCAGTTTCGATGAAATCAACAACACGTTTAGTGAACTCCATAAGTGCTATTTGTACACGACCACGTAATAATAAAACAAATTGAGCTTTTAATGAGTATTCACCTCGTATATTATCTAATTCCAATTCGCTTACTGTATTGGTTACATTTTTATAATATAATCCTGCTGAATTCTTTGGTGTATTCAGTTTACTTAAGTTACTGAAATAATTTGTTTTCATCGAAGTATTCAAGTTGATATTTTCAAAATTATTAAATGTACTTCTATTAATCAAGTCAGTAGTATTTAGAATTTCCGTATTGTTTTCATGATTTATATCTCTATAATCCAAGTTATCTGTTATATTTTCCACAGAATATGTCTTTTTCTTTGGCTTTTCTTTTTCCAAAAAATCAATGACAAATTCTAAAAATGCTATAGTATCATTATATGTTTGCCGTTGTTTTGCTAAATAACTGTGTAGTTCACCAAATACGAGTTGAAGAAATTCATTTGAAGCGTCAATTCTATATTCATAAGCTAATGTTTTAACTTCTTTCTCTTTTCCACGTTCAATACCACCAAATAATAGACCACCTACAATTGTATAAGCAATAACTAAACCAGATAATCCAATATGTGAAAAAAGCATTGCTATAAATCTTTTAATACCAGATTTAATCTCCTGTAATTTACGTCTACGACGTTCTTGTTTACGTAAACGCATACGTTCTTCACGTGATAATATAGTAGTCGTTTTTGGACTGAATGGTTGAGGTGTTGTCATTGGAATAGGTGAAAATATATGAGGAGTATTGAAATCTTGTTGAAAAATCATTTTGTTTTCGTACAATAATATTTTAAATTTCTCAAATTGTAGCTTTAAAAGACAAAGAAAAACTATTGCATTGTATCAACAAATTCATTTAAACAAGTTAGTTCTTAGATTTTCATTATGATTCAAATGTAAATCAATGAATCATTTCATTCATGTTATGTCTCATTCATAAAGTTTTCATTCATTATTTCCATTATATTTTTGTATGAATATATATCATTAGATTCTAATGTCAAGTCATCTACATATTTGTCTACACTATTAATTCTTTTTTGTTCTCAAAATGTTTCTTATCAAAGAATAGATTATTTAAGAAATGATTATTATACATTTTATATAATAAACCTTATGAATCCAGGTTAAAATGACATAATTGAAATCATTGAACATTTTCAACCAATAGAATTTCGATTAGATTGGGATGATAATAACCAATCAAATTTTAATGTTATTTTAATCATATATTATTTTTAATTTAAGATCATCTGTTCATTCTATTAATTTACAATGAGTTTTTATCCAGAATTATTACAAATTATTATTATTATTATTATTGAATTATGAACCATTTTGTTCATCTGTCTATCATAAACAACAACAACAACAAAAAAAACATTTATTGATTAAGAATAATAAAATTGATTTCACAGGTTGAAATCATGAGTCAGTTGAAGCTAGACCACCATTGAAAACCTGTGAAAATTTCTAAAATTCTCCACAAAACCCATTCTGATAAAAATTGATTTCATTTACTGATCATCTTATATCGATTTATTTCATAGCAACAATTATTTATTCTAATTGTTTTAAGTAAGAATAGTTCGTTCTGTTTTCTCACCAAGATTTCCTTACAAATTATTTTCCAGGAAGTTTTTGAAGTCATTTCATGAAATCTATTTATTTAGTGAAAAATATACCATTTTATTGAATTGTTTTTTGTTGTAAATGAATGGAAAAAAAAATTTAATTAAGAAATTGAAATATAATTCCCATTTAAACATTAAAATTAAAACACGAAGTTCAGTGAGGGGGTCTCTTTTCAATGAATTTATTATCAAGCTGTACAATCGTATATATATGAAAATTTTGTTTGTTTTTTTTGTAACAGTACTAATTCCGTCAGGAAATGTGAACACAGTTACGTAATATGTAATCTAGTATTATAACCTTTTTTATTATGTCATGGTTAACTGTGTTCACATTTCCTCACGGAATTAGTACTTTTACAAAAAACAAAGTTTTCATGTATATACCATTGTAGAGCTTGATAATAAATTCGTTGAAAAGAGATCCCTTCGCTGAACTTCGTGTTTTAATTAAGAAATTACAACTATTATAGACTGAAAATCCATTTAAATGTAAACTGTATGAATACAATTTTTGATTACTTACTTACTTACGCCTGTTGCTCCTCGTGAAGGAACATAGACCGCTCACCAGCATTCGCCATCCAACTCTGTCCTGGGTAATCCTTTCCAGCTCCTTCCAGTTCTTAGTCATCCTTTTCATATCTGCTTCTATTTCCCGACGTAATGTGTTCTTTGACCTTCCTCTCTTCCGCTTCCTTTTAAGATCCCAAGTTGGCACTTGCCTCGTGATGCAGATTGATGATTTGCGTAATGTATGTTCTATCCATTTCCATCCTTTCTTCCTAATTTCTCCTTCAGCTGGAAGCTGGTTTGTTCTTTCCCAGAGAAGGCTGTTGCTGATGGTATCCGGCCAATGGATGTTGAATATCTTGCGTAGACAATTATTTATAAATACTTGTTAGAGATAGCTTAATAAAAAATATATTATAACAATAAATTCTTTTATGAAGCCGCTTAAAGGGAAATGAATTTCTTCTTTTTTTTTAAAAAAAGAACAAACAACATTCATCGTGCAAAACAAAACAAAAATTGTCCTAATATTAAAACAAAACAAATCATTGAAGAACTAACCACATGTAAACAATCACAGTCTGTTAATATACATTTGGTCTTCCTTATAATGAATAAATATGAAAGCTCTATTATGAACATGATAATCTTTATAATATTTGTATATAATACCATTTGTTTTATATATATATATATATTTTTAATAAATAATGAATTCAAACAAAAACAATATTCTGTAGCCAGATAATTCAAATGATAGAAAAGATTGAAAATAATAGTTTATAATTAATAAAAAGTACATGTAGGATTTAATAAAAATGATTCATTTGTTGTTTACAATTAAAGAAATAATGAATACTTAAGCAATAAACCATCAGTTAATATCTTTTAAGATTGTAATAGTCATAATGATTGATTATTAAGTTGTTATATAGGTTATATTGCTTATTCATTAGAAATGAATGAATTGAAGTGATTGCTTTGTAATTCATGAATTATATCGTTCAAAACGTCTTGAGATTTTAATTTTTTTTAAGGATAAATCAATTAATATTAGAAAGGGTTTTGTGGAGATTGTAATAATTTTAGTAATTGTGACCATAAGTCAGTTGAATCTAGACCATCATGGAAAACCCGGAAGCACTGAACAGTCGTTTCGTCCTATTGCGGGACTCCTAAGCAGTGCGCATACACGACCTCGCCTCACGGGATTCGAACCCAGGACCTATCAGTCTCGCGCGTGAGCACTTGAACACTACACCACTGAGCCGGCATTTAACAGCATTAATGTCTAACTTCAACTAATCCACGGAATTGAGTGACACATCCACCATTGTCTTCAGTGAGTTACTACCTCATAACTGAAGGGTCTCACAATAGGACGAAACAGCCTTCCAGTGCCTCTTGGTTTTCCATGGTGGTCTAGCTCTATTTGACTCATGAATTCAACTATTGAAATAAATCAATTAACAGAATCACAATTTTTTAATAAACACAATGAATATTCAGTCAAAATATGATGCGTTACCTTAAAATTAGTTAAGTTCACACTTTTGTTTTTGAAACAGTAATCAACTATTCGTTTTTCTTATGAATAAAAATTCTTTCTGTTTTTCTTGACTATACAACAACCTATACTGTGTGAATAAAGTATCTCAATACGACTTAACTTATTATAAACAACATCTGATTATCAAAATCTGGTAAGTTATATATTTTTTTATACTGCAAAACACATGTAGATTAAACATATCGTCCAAATGACCGTCAATAATTTTGACGCATAACATTGTATTGAAATGAATTCCAAATTGTGTAGTGTCTTAGTCAGTCAGTCAGTCAATCAGTAACAACGTAGAACCGCGTACGCACGTACATCAGTTCGAGTTGCCATACCACATTACCACAGAGATGCTGTTGCCGATTCAAATCCCATAATGGTAGAGGCGGTAAGAGTATAAGATTAGGGTTTGGAGATGTTATTCAAGGAGTATAATCCAGTGAAATAAATTTCCAAGGAGAAAAAAGAGACATGAAGAATTCGTAAGATTAGAATTTGGGAGAACACAAAGAGTGGATACACCTGCACCATTCCAAACGATTTTGAGCCATGTCATTAAAGGTCTCTAACCATCGGTCGCTATCATCTCGCGGTCCCCAACCACGTAGTCTGCACCTACCAACATGACTCAGTCCACTTGTCAGTGACTTCATGGATTTGTACCATGTTTTGGTCTGGCCACCCCTAGCTTTCTTCCAACCTACTCCTATACCACTGAATATAGCACGTCGAGGCAGTCGGTGGTTGGGCATACGTAACACGTGTCCCAGCCATCTCAACTGATAAAGTTTCACTACGTCATCAATTGATTTGCCATCCTTACCTAGTACCCGTTTCCTAACAACTTTGTTACTTACTCGGTGGTCCCAGGATATACGAGCAATGTTTCGAAGACACCTATGATCAAATACTAGTAGTCTACGAATATCCTCTACTCTTACCGGCCATGCTTCACTTCCATAAAGTAGGACGGAACGAAGTGCTGCGCAGTAAACACGTCCTTTGGTTGATAGACGGATATCTCGCCTACACCATAAATGACGCAAGTTGGCGAAAGCTAGTCGAGCCTTCTGTATCCGTGCTGAGGTTTCGTCACACACCAGACCTCAAGGGCTGATGAGACTTACAAGATAAGTGAAGCGGTCGGCACCCTCAACTACTTCACTCCCTATAATTAGTTCGGGTGTCAATGCAACCCAATCCTGAACCAACATTTTGCATTTCGAGGGGGAGAATCGCATCCTGAACATGCTTGCTGTGTAATGTTTATCTTAATGTGTTTTTAACAGATTACGATAATTTTTTTTGGAAATTATACATCACGATAAAAGCTCATTCGTCCTTATTGGGTGTTTCAAATCTTTCCATGTTAAAATCCATAGAATAAAATTAAAAAAAAGAAGTTATATTTAACCATTCAAATCAAATCTATCATTCTCTATTGCAATGAATAGTTAATAATGTTTATCAATCAAGGGAAGAAACAATTTGAAGGAAAATCATTTAGTAAATTGATTTAAAAAAATGTTTTTTTCAGTACTCTACAAATGTCATTCATTTGTCGTTACTTGTATGCATTTGTTTATTATATCCTATTTTATACACTAACAAGTTAATTGTTTTTATATAGTTATAATGGTTTTACTGATGTTGTTCATAAACCATTGAATGATTAATTATGGTTAGAATGAGAATGAAGTTATTTGTGTTCTAAATCTGTCATTTACTACTTATAAAAAGTTCATCATTCGTTATGATTGGTTTCATAAGCCACTTTGATTTTTACTAGTACGTTTATTCTTCTGTACAGAAAGTGTCTATTAAAATTTGACTACCGTTAGTTAGGATTTATTCCTAAGATTTGCATTGTTTATTTATTCTTCAAACTATACAAAGGACTTCAAATGCAATTGTAAAACGTAATATAAGGAACAAGCTTTAAAAGCATTGTTAAAATTATGAACCAACAGACTGTATTCAAAAATGTTTGATGAGAATCATGGAATGTTCATACTGATTTCAAACGTTTTAAAGTCATTTCAATAGTTGAATTCATGAATTGACCTAGGCTAGATCATGTTTGAAAATTTGGAAGCACTGCACTCCTCAGCAGTCAGTCATACATACTTCTTTAGGAGTATCACTCGTACATTAGACAGCATGTAAGCAATCCCTAAAAAATGTCATTTCTACAGTTTGTTAGATATGACAAATATTCGTCACTTTCGTCTTTGAACTATCCAGGTAAAATTAAATCTGAAATTAATGAATTAACATGGAAAACATGAAAACTTTGCTTCTTCTCATTTGTCTACTGTAACCTCAGCTCTCTCTTTTGACTAGCAAGTTACTTCATAATATCAT